AAATACATACAAGACATTAATAATGAGGCAATTGGTAATCCATTTACAATGAGGACTTGAATCTAACCGTATGCTAACATGCTAACAACCAAGTCTGCACCCAGTGTCTCAAACTCTAAATTTCATTTTGGGCACTGCTGTGTATGTGTTTCTAATACAATCATTTAGGTAGGTGCCACTTCTTAATGTTTCAAGCAATATTACTGAAAATATTTTTGTTTTCCTATTTTCCATCTAACATACTGTCATTCTACAGCCAGGTTTTTGCACTCAAAGACAAATAAAGCCCTGAAAGCTGTTCTCTTCTATCAGCCTTTGCACACATTACTGCCTCGTGCTATCCATGTTCTCTTTGAAAATAAAACACACAATGTGCAAGATCATTAGTTAATTTATTTTACCTCAGACTTTTTCTAACTGTTCTCCCAAGTTTTTGTCCAAAATGAATTCCCTCAGTAAGTCTAAAACTGTTTATGATACATACATCCACATTCAAGTCGTGCAAACACACCCCACACATTCCACCTGTCCTGAGGCATTAGATAACTGCACGAAAGACACCTGAGGTGACATGCCATGACAGTCCCCACAACACACACACCCTGACTACCAGCGTGTCTCCTCCCCACTCGCATCTCCTCTTGCATCAGATCCAGGACCGATCTCATCCACCTGTTTTAGCAACTCAGCCATTACACCCTACACACACCTGTAGTACAGAGAGATGCCGTCTTGTCCCAACAGCCACGCTCTTGTGTGACCGCTTACGTGAGCTGATGATGTTATGAGTGTGAGGTCGCCAGATCAGTGTCCATGAGCCAACAGTCAGTTGAAATCCAGTCCGTCACATCCACACCTCTTCAGCCTTTTTCTGGCGCGACTCACGAGGCTCTAAGTCATCACTGCCCCACATCACCCCTTCTCTACTCTGTCGCGCAATGTACCAGTCCTCGGTCCTTTCCTTCTTCCTATTCCTCTCCTTTCTTTCTTTCTGCTTTCTCTTCTCTTCCTCCTCTTCTTCTCTTTCTTCTTTCTTCTTTCTCTCTTTCTCTCCTCTCTTTCTTCTGTGATTATTTATCCATTTTTCTGTGCTGTCCACTGGCAATCTCACAATGATGGGCTGAGTCTGTCGACCAATCAGATTGTGTGCACGTGTGGCAACTCTGATCCTGCATTGTGCAGTCTCCATTCTCCTATCTATAGAGCCCAGAGGGTTACATGTAATCAGGATTACAAAAAATAGGTAACTATAATCTGCCCAGGTTACATTTTAAAAATGTGTAATTAGATTATCGTTACTTTGTTAAAGATTACTTGATTACTTGACTCAATTTTAAAAATGAGTCAACCTTTCTTCATGATAATGCTCTATTAAACAGTTACTACCCAGCACTGAATGCACCAGTATGACAGTTGTGCAGCAAGCATTGACAGTGTCTACCTCCACAGCCAGAGCTATGTATTATTAGACCCTCTCGCTGCCTTAGAAAACTCCTGACCTTTAACTGCCAGTGTAAATGTCATGAGGGACGGCACTTTGTTTTTGTGTAAATATGTAAATCCAGTAGACAACCAACCCATCAAGACATGTTGCTGACTCTTGCCCCTAGACATTTGCTGTTTATTCATTTGATGTTCACACTTGAGTTTTATATTTCACCTGAATTTGAATTGTTGATGCCTGCCTACTCCTCTAAACCGATGCTGTTTGTGTTTTGCAGGCATGGACTTCCATGAGGATCTGTCTCGTCTTGGAGAGAAGGAGGGACTGAAGGGACGCAAGCTAAGCAAAGCTGTGGAGAGTTTTACCTGGAACATCACTGTGCTCAAGGTACTAGGAGGCAAATATAGCACCTAAACTCTCTTTTATAGCATTGGTGTTTTTTTCTTCTTCTTGTTTACTTGAAATGTACTGCAATGCTATTATGTCAAACGTATGTTTCCTTGTGTGCTGCAGGGTCAGAGCGATCTGTTACGGGGAGCTAAGATGGATTCCCTTGATGCCCTGAGGCAGCTGGCTCTGGCCTGTGAAGCCTGCGGACTCACCTCCTCCTCCTCTTCCTCCAACTCCTCGTCCTCCACATTTTCCACAGCCGAGCTTCACTACTCCTCCCACCCCCTGTCTGGCCGCCGAAGCAGCACACACGGCAACGGACGCATCTGACACCCCCCCTCCCGCCTGGGTCCAGCATGCAGCCAAAGAGGAGAAGAAAGTGGACTGATTAATTACAGAGGATAACAGAGATGAGGAGATATGAGAGCAAGAAAGACAGCAAAAGAAAAGTTTTTCTATCCCTTTATCCAGTGCAGTAAGTGTCTAGACTAGCCTAGACCAGAGCAGTATATCTGTTAAAGCCTTACGGTGAGTTCATCCATTTATCACTGAGGGTCCGGCATGCAGGGAGGCTTTTCATGAATGTCGTAACTCCGTAGTGGAAAAGACAGACTCTCCAAGCGGATCCTTGAACTTTTGGCGGCTCCTGCTTATTTTTCTGAGAGGAAGTGTGTGACTCAACATTGTAACTCTGCAGGGTTTTTCTCATTATAGAGGAAATCATGCACACCTGAATAATTTTGACAACAGGGCTGTATTCGAGCTGATATAAACGGCCCTGTTGTTTTTTTTTATATCAGAGGTGGAACGCAGAGTGGATGGATAGCTGAGGGGACAGATGAGTGTGTGTGTGTGTGTCTGTGTGTGTGTGTTTACGGTGTTGCAGGTTGTGACCCACAAAAACGGGGGGATAATGTTAATGATTTTAATGTAATACTACCTTTTTAAAACACATAAGTTTTATGGTAATTCTATTTTTGTTTTTAGATGTTATTAAAAAAATTTAAAGCTGCAGTAGGTAACTTTTATAAAAAATACTTTTTGTTATATTTGCTGAAACTTTCACTATATCATGAGACATGAGACAGATAACGTGTTAAAAAAAATCATCTTCCTCTGGCTCCTTCTACTGCTCCTAATGGTAATTTTCACTTAGTTACCAACTGCAGCTTTAATGCAATTGAATTTTTGGAGCAGCTTAACATAAAAAAAATACCTTCCTAAAGGAGTAATCAAATGTCACATAAAGTTACCTATACAATAAACGGTCTTGAAATTAACACAAAACCTTTTCCAGGACCTGATTGGCTGAACTTCAATACAAACTTTTAGCGATTTATCTAATTGAGTGCTCTTCGGACAACGACTCTCGTCTGCTCTGTTTAAAGGCCTGTACCCTGAATGACTCCACAGATTAGTTGACACATGCAAAACATCCACAAGGACCCATCAGAGGTACAGGTTTTGAGGATTTGCAGACTTTCTAAACTTTAACCACACATAAAGTACATAAAGATCCCCTCGAGCACACTCATTTCCTCATCCAAATGCTTTATTCTTGTACTGTGTGAAGGCATGCACACAGGTTCTTGTTATCTTCACCTGACGGCCTTTGAGTCTGTCATGTTCACTTGGAGAGGGGGGCAGCTGAAACACGAGGAATAAAGCTTAGTGGAGAAGGGATGCGGTAATTGGAGAGGCTGAGGATGTGTGTTGATACTGTAGTACTACTTGTCTTCTGTAGTACGTGTGGGATCACATAACCTCCTCACTATACCGACATGTGGGGTAATGGAGAGTCTGTACGTGTGTGTTTGTGTGTGGGAAGAACAGATTCCTGCAGCATTGCTGAAGTATTTATGTAGCAATAATAATAGTGGTGAGTTAAAAGAAAAGGCTGTATAGCTCAATGTGTGCTGACTGAAGGATTGGAAACTATATAACTAACTTTATAGCCCAGTGACGCTTTTAAATGTATATGAAAACAATTACAAAAATGGTGTCGAGCGGGTGCTACTGATCATAGCTAATAGTTGTTAGCTTACCTGTCAGTGATGGCGTTCCTCTAGGCCTTTGAGTGTAACCGTGTGTTTCTTCTTAATGCAGGAAAACAGCTGAAACTCTTTCTTTTAACTCAGCTTTTGTATTTGTGTATCTAGCAATGCTGCGTTTGAACCAAACTTGACAAAAGTGATGCTAAGCAACACGCAGAACTAAGCTAACCAGAATACATTTACCTCCTTGGATGTTGTCACAACCCACATAGCAAAACTGATCTGGCCTATATAATACCGCTATGAATCACAGGCCACATGTGGGCCCGATCTCGTCATCCATGACAGCCATATCTCAGCCAACTGTATGACCATAGCTGTCCTTATTCTTGGCAGTTTCAGCTCTCTGTTGGCCAAATATGGCAAGGGTGTTTATGAATACTGTTGGGTCTCTGTAAATGTTATAAGGAGTTCGGT